AGCCTACTACTCGCGCACAGTATAGAGCCATGGTCGAGAATTTCTTTGCACTGTTATCACCCTGTTCTTGGCGAGAAGCCTAAAAGTCGCTTTCTTTTCTAGCGAGCTACACCTAGGGCAACGAAAGAGAGATCATGGGAAGATGTCTAAAAATGTAGACAGTACCAAACAACAGATGGCCACACCGTTTCGTAGTTTAACGCAACACCGATCGTTCATACAAGGCTTTTTTGGATTTGTGTAGCATTCCTTTCGTTCTGTGAGTGACCATCATCTCGAGATAAAAACCATGAGCCGCGTGCTACTTGTACACCAAAAACAGTTGTTTTTTTTAACCGGTTTTAGCTATTAAAGAAAGAGGAATGAAAAATCATCATAATTATGCATACACGAGTAGTAATAAGGTTGCCGATTTTTGCCGAAAATAGAATTTAATTGTTGTTCTACGGCAGTGGTTCTATAGTTATAAATAACTTTCCCTGCCAAATTTCATACGAAGTTATAAAATAAATTTAAAGGACGAATTTACGATGGAAAAGCAACCCATTCCAAATTGAGGTAGAGATGGTGAGTAGTACCAGAAAGAAAGCGAAACCACGAAAAACGGCCCAGAACCGGAGAAATGGGACCCCTTCCTTGCCCGTTGATTTGAGCATTGATGCGACTCTCATCGCTTTGCCCTCTTCAACCCTACGCTCTCTCAGCTATCTAATCACTCGCCACCTATTGTACTACGGCGAGTGATCAGACGATCGGTGGGCGGAGATCGCCGAACTCGCCAACTTTGAGCCATGCTAGATCTCAGAGGTCAAATCTTTCGATGCCGATTGCGTGTCTGTCCGCACCCTCAAGAGATTCACCGCTCTCCCCACTAGGCGATTTCTCCCTTCTTCGACCTTCGTTCTTTCCGTGCAATCCTCCTTTAAAGCGAAACCCTAGATGAGTAATGTTCGAGCAGTCAGTTACTTTGAGTAGTATGGAGTATCGCAGATGTGCCGCCGCTTTGTCGCCGCTCCGCAATGCCTAACCAATAGCGCTAGGGCCTGAAAAATGATTGCTGACGACTAACGTGAGCTGATGACTAGAATACACCATCGCGCACACCCCCATACGTGGCAGTACGACATAGCGCTATTCGAATGCCGCGATAGCAGAAAGCATGGTGCAAGCTATGCAGACAACTCGTCCAGACACGCCCCACCCTTTCAAGAGGGAAGAGAGCGAGTCCTAGTTCAGCTTTGTCTTTGTTTGCTTTGCTCCCTTTTTCATCATCCCACATTTCCATTTTCAACCACTGTTATCTCATCAATTTGGTCTGGGGTTGTTGCTCTAAATGATGCCATTTAAGAGCAAAAGGCGTTCGCAGGGCTGCGCAGTGTTCATCCTTCAGCTTCCGTGTGACATTACTATCACCTGATTGCAGCGTAGGGGCTCAATAGGTGAAATCATGCTTGGATGTGAGATCAATACGTAAGTGTTGTACGGGACACTGGCTGTCAGGCTGTCAGTTGTCGATCACAGAGAAAGGAAGAAGAAAAAGATAAAAAAAAGAAGAAGAAAGAAAATGTCCTGGGACGATTCATTTACGTATAGCATAGAATACGGTATCAAGTCGAGTATAAACGTTTTTTCCCCACTGCCTAATCATCTTCAGTATTTCAGGGATGAGGATTATTTTCAAAGTTTATAAAAGAGATAGAAGGAAGTATTGAAACAAAAAACGCTCGGCTAATCATAATATGTCAGTAAGAGATGTGTGCGCAGAGGAATCTCGTCGTAATTGAAGTGAGCCGACTAAGAGATCTGAGCTAAAAATGCACTCTACACTCTGGCGCCAATATCCAAGCTTTTTATAGGCACCTCATCTTACGTTTTGTGCTGTGAAATCGTGTTTAATTAAATACGAATAGCCGCTGTATTTAGCCTTCGTTTCCAAAGTCGGAGCAAAAAGGCTTTTGGAAGAGGAGTCGCTTGCACTGTGCTGACAATGAGAACGATGGACTGAAAACAACGCTTATCGATGCATCGGACCATATGATTCATTTCAGATGCAATTATTTCTCTGCACTCTGATGAATCAATAAGCCCAAAATTCAATTTTATTTAAATGTTCAGAGGATATGTGTGTTCTTGGATAAAACGAGTATTTGATAAGATGATCTGGCACTATTTACCCTTTGGGGCACATTCCTGCCCTCAAAAACTGAGCGAATCAAAGTTTTTCTATGACTAAGGACTAGGCCTAAAAAGTCGTCCTTAGGAGTTGTTTTGTTCGTTAACTGCTGTTTTAACGCCGCAGTTCGCGTTGCGAATGTTTCACAAGATGCTGGGTTGTGACAAAACTTTATAACCATGAAAAGCTGAGTTGGAATGAAATGGTGCCCCGGTAGCGTAACTGGTAGCGCACTTGCCCGGAAAGCGAGAGGTGCGGGTTCTAGTCCCGCCTGGGGCGAAAGTTTTGTTCACAACCCAGCATTCTTGTGAAACATCGTATAGAGTATTTTAAACGGTATAAACGAACTTCGCAATCAATTAGGCACAAAAGCGCGTGGCGCCCGCGCCAACGAGACGCTAATCGCTACACATCAGTTGTGCGCCGGCCCGGCCTGTACACACCTACATAGTTCACCAAGACTAATTAACATTCAATGTTTTGCGGGTCAAACTACCTTGAGGAACAAGTTTCACGAATTTGTGTGAAATCAAGTCTGGCACCGTTTGCGCCGCAATTGTTGCGGGTCAAGATCAGCCAGGCCTTTTTACATCAAACGGATGTGATATTTGTCTTCTATGGGTCATTTACTCTCCGGGGCAACTTCCTAGCTAAATGCTCAGTCATGGGAAAAAATTTCGAATAAAAACTCCCAGCTCAGTTTCGGAATGAAAAAAAAGAAATAAAAAAGTGGGGCAGTAAAAGTAAATAATGCCGGATGTTTCATTGCGGCGACAGTATATCAACATGAATTCGACTTTTTATCAATTGAAGCTAGTGCACACTGAAGTAAGATAGAGCAGTGACGAATGTCGCTTCCCACTACGCGCATGGTCTGGGCATCGAGTCATAGAACGAATCTAGCCGAGGACAATCAGGACCTACCTCTCGGGACAGTTGAATGATTGATACCAGCTTGCTTTGAGAATTAAGAACATCGATCTTCGTATATATGGGCCTGAGGCCCGCTGCATGCACTGTAATTACAATAAATTCTATCAGCCCTATGTCCTGAACCATAGCAGAATGCAATGCGCCGGACCAAAAGAATCAATGAACATCTAACCGTTCAGCATATTTTAATCATGTGCATACTCTTGGCACATGCTGCAATGCCTTCACCCACCATATCCTCTGGCTGCATAAACAACTTGAGTCCCTTCCTATTGAGAACAGGAACGTTCTAACGTTCTACGGTGACATTTTCTGGGAACTTTGCACGCTAGAACGAAAGCAGAGGTGTTAAATAGGGCGAAAATAGGAAAGAAGCTGAAGAAATTCTCGAAAATGACCCCAATAAGGCCTCATCGACAGTGCACGAGCTTGAATTGGAAAGGGCATGCTCGGAGGACAGCAGCTGGCTTCATGCCAGAAATCTAGAATCCATCATGCTAATGGATTGCTTCGTATAATCGTATTTCGTACAGAAATATGCCTAATACTATACAAACACAAAGCGCAACGATTAGCCTCACTATCCTTACTGGTCTTGCTGCACCGAGTTGGGGGGGGGGGGGTGGCCTGGCTTTAGCTCACTTCAGCACCGACGACAGGTCTTAGTACCCTTGTCGCGCAATTTTTAGTTGCAAAAACGGCACATCTGTAATCCTCGCAGACCGTAGGAACTGAACCACCTGAGCTCGTAGTGGGGTTCTCACCCGTTCTGGACAGCGGCGCTTTCCCCTGGCGAAGCCTCGTGCCTTTTGCGATTCCTCACCGAGGTATATCACTCGTTTTACCCCACTGTACTCCCTGGTTTAGCCCCATTTCTCTTGGTTCACGGACTTTGTTCCTAAATCGAATTGTTAAACTGCGTCGGTGATATAGCGCAGACAAGCGGACCGGCATGCGGGTGACTGCCTTCCCCTCCTCAACTATGGCATTTCCTTCCACATTCGGAAAGGATAATACCGAGTCAGTGTGCTCACAGCTCTGCGTTTTCTCGACTAGCTAGCCCCTCATGGCTATTGCGACCTCACGCGCTCCAACAGTTACGACCGGTCAATGGCTTACCCAACCCAGAGCTCCTCCGAGTCTCGAGCTTTGACCCTTACCCCTCCCATAATGTGGTGATCGAAGCAGTCACGGGGAGACTCCATCCGTTAGAGCCCCTCTTAGTTTTGGAAAGAAGAAACTGGGGAAAGATCAACCAGTCACGCAGCCCACGTTTTGTCCTTTTTTGTTTTGGATGCTGACAATGAGTCTGCCGCCGTAATTTATGCGTCTACGCCCATGCTTTAGGGGCAGGCGCATGACAGGAAGTTTCTATATCGTCAAACCACTATTGATCACTATTTGGAAGAAGAGCTGACATCCGTCTGGCGCCTACCTCAGACAGGAAGCCGTTGTTTTGAGTCTGGCGAACAATTTTTGAGGCAAAAGGAGTGGCTGATTTGGAAGAAGTAAGCTCAGGGATTGTACGAATAATGAGGTTCGTCTGAGAAAGGAAGCGAGCGAAACGAACCAGTTTAATTGCTTTTGTGTTTATAAATGGTGTTTTTGCTTTCGTTGTAGGGGATTGAAACTTTTTCTGTGAATGGTGGGAAGTTACGAAATTTCAGAATACTTATGGACAGTTATCTAGGCGTTGCTCCAACTTACTATGACTGACCCCACCAAACTGAACGGACTCAGATTGAGCTAGATTAGACATCCTATCGGAGACCATCAACTATAGGAGGCGAGAGGCTGATCATATCTGGGAAAGCAGCCAGAAGTCACTCATGACCATGGTCAGAAGCTTTACGGGAGAGGACGGCAGAGCAGAGCATAATGAGCAAGAGGGAGAATGATGCTCGGGATTCTCCAGGGGATGCGTGAGGGTACGTTCGGCGATGATCTTCGTATCATCAAGGCCAGGTTCGATTGATTAACTGAATCATGGTGTGACTGCCCGATGAGTGCGCAGACATCATCGGAAATCAATGCTTTATGCGCCATTAGACAAGCATGGAATGGTCATTTATGTAAGGGCGAGGGTCCAGAGCTCTCCGCAAGATAAGCCAACAACGACGAATTTTTCGTTCAGCAAGGACGAAGACAGATGGATGTCGCTTACAACTCTCTCGATCACATGGCAGTGCAATTGGCAATCCCTGAGCAGGCAATCAGCAAACGTCCGTCTCCCTGTTCTTGAGTGGTGCGAAATGGGCACGCCCCACTGGACATATACGAATTCATAACTGTAAAAAGGGAAGTACAGCAGCTGGATTTCTTTCACATTGTAGTTCCCCTCTCTTTGATTTTGTGTCAATTCCACAGTTGCAAACCCGGTGTGCGTTGATTCGAGATCAAAACTCGCGAAGAGACTAGGATGAGATCGTTTCGATCTAGTGTGGGAATTTGGGGAAAAAACCTCGAGGGGTACCGACAGGAGGCCATGTCAGCGCGGCGAGAATGGGAGAAACGCAAGTGAGGTCAGCACGGACGGGACGAATCGCGTACTACGAGGAATTTTGACCGTCAGTCAAATAAATGTGCATACTACGTCACTCACCACACAGATGCACAGCGACTTCGTCGCCCTAACTACACTGGGGTCTCTACCCGCAGGCCGCGCGACGGTCTCCTGGCAGGGTGAAGTTATTGCTTTGAGGTTCTCAACGAGCCCGTCGAGGATTTTCGCCCTGATGCTTTGACGTTTCTTGCGCTAGCGGATTTTATCTCGCTCACGCGAGTGTCTCGTGCTCTCGCTGCGGTAGATTCATTAACAGTCTACCTCAGGAATCCTCGACACGTTATTCACCCTGCTCCTGGGTACTCCACCTGAGCGCGGCACGCCCACTGGCGTCTGACTGTGAGACGCAACTGCGATGAGGTGGCGTGTGGCGATTTCGAGTAGCGCCGGGTGGAAATCGGAATTGGTCCGAGTTTCAGTAGCTGTGTGGAAAATCGGTAACAGTAAGTTCCGAGATGTTCAAGACCTTCGAATTCCACCAACTTCTCAGGAAACGTTTGCCGTTTGTGCTCTGAACAAGTACGGCTTTTTCCTTGAAATCCCAAAATATGACACTCCCCAACCCTTCTTCCCCCTTGTGTGGATGGGCAAGATGGGCGATGGGAAGTCGATCCTGGTTACGTTTGTGAAGGTTTTTCCTCTCTCATGCTTATGGTGAGGGGAGAGATAATCAGAACAGGGCATGTTATTAACCGCAAGGCCACCCAGTTTAGCGATTCTATCGGTGCGACCACAAAAAGCCAACAGCGAGATCTCTGCCCTGGTCCTTTTGAAATTTAAGTGTTGTCTAGGGAATGGCCCTGTTTCCACTAGGCTGCGTTGATTCAACATCTGCTTCACTCAGACGTCTCCATGCATAAGTGTGTGGTAGCCGTCTTAGTGTGAGCGGTTGGTATCCTACATGTTGGCACAGTGATCTGATCAGCTGCGTGCACAAGAAAGTGCTCGTTGAAGTGCACTGTGCGGATGTCCCTATTCAAGCATAAGGGATAAATATGCTTTCCCCTACACGTGTCTGTATCCAATCTTATCAGTTTGTAGCTGACACGTCACGAAAACCCAAGCATGTTGAGTAAAAGTTAACTTCATGGGTAGTGTGAAGTTTCATTTGGAGCTGTTCATTCACATGAACTTCATCCCATTCATTTTTGCCCTCGTAGTTGGAACGAAATCCTACAGTGAGTGATCCTAGCGTTTCCTTAGTTACAGTGGCAGTCTTGAACACTATTATGGGTCGGCGTGACAGTATTCGCGTTCTTAGTCCTTCAGGTCGTTCGGGTGTGTTATTACTGGGTGTGACGATCGAACGACAAAATAAATTTATCTGCTGTTTTAGTTTAATATTTTTACTATTTTGGATTGTAGGGGTTGCAGAGAAGAGGGTGGAGGCAAGATGTCGCTTGTTGGACGCTGGAAGCCGGTCAATGCGCGAAGTAAAAGGAATGAGAGCTAGATACCAGCTAATGCGAACGTTCAATAGTTGCGATCGTACGTGCGATTAGTGCGACGTAGGCGAGTAGGCGAGTAGGCGATTAGGCGAGTAGGCGATTAGGCGAGTAGGCGATTAGGTGATATCTGGATTGTATGCAACACTTTGACAAGATCTGCTTTTACCAACTAGTAGTCTAGTGTATGGGTGAGAAGCTAATATGCATGTGCGCCTCAATTTTGACGACTAAGGAGTGCGCCGTGTGCAAATCGCCTAATCGCCTAATCGCCTAATCGCCTACTCGCCTACAACGCCCTCAGGGCGGAGCATACAAGTCGATACGTATGTAGTCTTCACCGCCTAATCGCCTACTCGCCTGATCGCCTACTCGCCTAATCTATACGTATATTTTTCATTTAGACTAATCGCCTAATCGCCTAATCGCCAACTATGAACGCTCCAAAAGTGACACAAAAACCAATGGCGATGCTTGAATCGCTGAACGCACTAGGAGCGTGGAACTTTGCTTTTGGAGGTTTTCCGGTCCAGTTACCATTGGCCTTTGCTGTGGTCACTTGTATCTTGTGCCGACGAATGCAGTATACTATTTAACGCACTGGAAGCGCACCCACAACACGCCATGCATGGAAATGTCGGGAAACAGCTGATATGAACTGAAGAGGTCTCAGGAGAACAGGCAGGCCTATTCGCCGGCTCGGACCCAGCCGCGCCTCTTCTATCTCCCATAGCAAGTACATGCATGGGCTGTCTGGTCGTGCACGGATGGGCCTTTATCGTTTGCACCTCACCATTCAATAGGGCTCGAGGCTTAGGGTTCAGTAAGAGGGAGGAATCTTAATGAAGGACTGCAGGGCCTTCATGAGTCTGCTAATTTAGCACGTTTTTTCAAGATAATATTAATTAGTGGAACAGCCCGCGAATCAAATTTTGCGATTATTTCGCTTGAATACCGAGCAAGAAATGTGCAAAAGAACGACCAGTGAAAAAAATAATTGGAACCATGGAACTTACTGAAATCAACAGCTTCCTTTATTTGTGAAATAGACCGTGGGAAAACGGATAGATACAATGCGGCACAGAGAGAGGATATACGAGACAGCACGTGGTGCAAGAGGGCACAGACACCGCGTATGCTGTGAACAAGTAAGGTGGCAGTAGGCAAGGCAAAGCCTTGCTGCCCCTGTCCCACTGTGTAGTCGAGAGAGTGCCGTGCCTTGAGACTTGCTACCTCACTCACGGAGAGAATCGCGTTGGGGGCTAATTCCGGGCTTCGCCTTTGACCGTTATTTCTTCAAGACAGGAATGAAAAAAGGAAATGCGAGACCAAATAATCAGGGGAAAGGGCTATCATTTGGCAAGCTGGGATCCGATCCTACGAGAATATACCGAGGCATTCTGACTGCTGTGCTACCTCTGCGCTGCCATCATTGCTTGTCTCCTTCTGAGGAAGCAACAACTGAAGCTTACAGCCATTTCACAGTCACTACCTGGATGGCTTCGAGTACATTTACTTGAGTTTTATTCACGTTCTAGGCTGCACCGACTACAACTTCTACCTCAAAGATGTCAGAAACTTCATCAGCCAGTGTTCGAAACGAACGACTCTAAATTTCGATGTAGAGACACCTTTGATTGAAGCGTCGAAATTCAAGGGAGACGAGTTCAACGTCTTCTTCTCGAAACTTCAAAAATTTGAAGTTTGTATTGAGGTCCGGTACACCAAACTTAAACGGATAGCATTTCCAGCCATCAGGGAAAAAGCCAGGGCCAGGTGTTCGGGAAAGCGTAAGCTTGATCATTTGTTTATCACCTTGTTCAGGGGTACCCGACAGGAAGCCCGTCGCGCGGCAAGAAGGCAGGGTCAGCGGACGAGTCGCAGCGCGCTGTAGTTTTCGCGTCAAGTTAAATAGAATGTACCATTGTACGTCCTACATCGCACACACGCGCTGCGACTCGTCCGCTGACTCTGCCTTCTTGCCGCGCGACGGGCCTCCTGTCGGGTACCCCTTGTTCGGAAAGTAGGCTTCTTATCGTTGTGACAACTCTGCTTGAAGAGGGCAGTTTATGTTATTATTGTTGTTATGTTGTTGTTTATGTTTTTTCCTTCGCATACTTAGCTGGATTTGAAAATGGGAGTAAGTCGGTAAGAGGTGAACGGCATTAAGAGTTGGTCGCCTGTGGAAATGAAAGTTGGAGATGGGAGTGGGTGCTGGTGAAGAAAGACTAGTGGTAAGGGAGCTCATATCATCAAAACGAAGCTTTGCTCTGTCTCTTCATGAAACAGCTCGAATACGACGGAGAGGAAGCAGCAGTTTGGGTAGCCAGTCGGTGGACGGGCAGAGGGGTGAGGAAAAGGTACAGGGAATGCCTTGTCAGGCCGATACAGGAGCCCCATTCAACAGCAAAAGCGTCATGTTTCGTTTTCTCCGAGGGGCATACACATTTCCCCTTCTTCAGCACACATTTATCGATCATCTTCCTTGAGGATTGAAGGAAGATTCTACGGTGGGCTTGAATGTCGAAGTAGGGGAAACTTATCCTAGTAGGAAGACATCGGACTTTTTTAAGGTGTGGGCCGACACGCAAGCTGCGAATCGCGAAGATATAACTCTAGCATGGCCCTACGCGGCGCCATCGGCGCGGTACACCCAGCGACTGGCAACTACTCGCCGCAGGTCTCTAGCCGTTCAGCAGAGAGAGCGTTAGCGTTGAAGAGGGCAGCACCGATGAGAGTCGCATCAATGCGGAAATCAACGGGCAAGGAAGGGGTAACATTTCTATGCTTTTGGGCCGTTTCTCATGGTTTCTCCTAGCCCGGCACAATTGACCAGCTCTACCTTGGTTTCAGCGGAATGCCTAATCTTAATCGTGAACTCTGCCTTCGAAGAAGAATAGCCGAGTAGTAGCTCTGAGATGGGATGGGACACGACAAAACTAGTGAACAAGTGTTTCACGTTTACCTTATGAGCATTTGATATATGGTTTTTGGGAGCGTAGGGATATAGAAATTTACTAGGTAAGATAACTGTAAGTTCGAAGTCAGTGCCAGTTTCTCTCTGGTAGTCCTGAACAGTGATGAGCAGCTTCAGGGAAGCTGATAAGTCTGGACCAGGCTTCACGGGATTTGAAAAGAAGGCATTTACTAACCTTGACGCTCACTCGACTTTGTTCCGAAACCGAAGTTCAAAGGCGGAAAAAACGATGAAGGTACGACCCATTAGAAGGTTGGGGTGGTCAGGAAGGAAGGGATGAAGAAACACCGCGAGAAAGACCCAGAACCCGTGAAAAGGGACCACCTGCCTTTGCCTGTTGATTTCCGACTTAAAGGAAGTGGTCACGGAAATTCCTATGGAGACGATAGGGAAAGTGACATAGTGGATTGGGTAGGGGTCCTACCCAATGGGACGACAGGTGACGCTTCAGGGGCAGTGGCGCCTTATCAACGGCGTGATAAGGCGCCGAAACCCACTTCCGGTTCGGCGTTGCACCTCCTTATCAGACGTGGAAGGGGATGCAACAGCAGCGTGCTAGATATGATACGGTTATCGTTATCGTTCGATTTTCATGCTGGAGTGCACCTCATTCCAAGCAGCCGTATCTTCTTATCTAATCATATCGTGTCTTCCAAGGGTTACGCTCGTCCACCCACTATCTATCTTCGAACTTATCGATTGATAACGCGCAGTTCGGCGATTCCACGTGGAGGCTAGCGTGATTCTCCCTTTAAAGGAGGATTTTACGATTAGAATGGAGGTCGAGGAAGAAGTAATTGACCTAGTTGAGGGACCCACGGACCTCCTGAGGGTGCGAACTGATGCGCAATTCGCATCGAAAAATTTGACCTCGGCGACCTATTATGCCTCAAAGTTGGCGGGTCTGGCGATCTCCGCCCACCGACCAGCTGATCACTCGCCGCAGATCTATACGTGGGATTGATTAGATAGATAGCAGAGAGAGAGCGTAGATGCTGGGCACAGCGATAAGAGTCGTTGATGTTTGAGGAGGGCACAGCTTGATTAAGAGTCGCATCAATGCGCAAATCAGCGGGGAAGGAAGGGGTCCCATTTCTCGGGTTCTGGGCCGTTTCTCATGGTTCTTCCTTCTTTCGTGTACCAATCACCATCCCTGAGTTAATTTGAAATGGGTTGCCTTCCCAGCGTGAATTCGTCCTTTAAAGAACTCGCATTTGGTGATACTCTCTTTAACGCTGACGCTCTCTCTGGTGAGCGGCTAGAATCAGAGCGCGTCTCCTCTCTGCGGAAAGTGCATCGCCCTCCACCCTTAGGGGGCCCACTTGCCTTTCGAATAGGTATACTATTCTTTCTTCGACCTCCGACCTTACCGTTGTATCTTACAGGACAATGATCTTAAGTATTCAATAAACAGTACTAATCAATATTTCAATAATCCCTCATTGAGGATCACACATAATCCACTGCCACTCTTCTAAACGCGATGAGGTAGCGCGCGATAAGAGGAGCTGCAAAATACTTGCATGGAACTCGCACAGTTTCACCAAGCCTTTTGCATTCACAATATTAGCCTAATGAAAACCTAGAGGGCTCTGCGATCGCGAATGAATATCTGGTCTAGTTAATAAGGTTTTTTATGACCTTTCCTCTATATTTCCCCACTGACGAGTCAATTAGCACCCCAGAAGCCTACTATCCCCGTTTTACTATTATTTGATGTGCCTTTAGGTCCACTGGAGCCTTGGCTTAATTTGAAGTTTCAGTAGCGGCAATTGTGATTCGCGACAATCCTTACCTGGAGGAGATAGTCTTCGGTAAGTCAAACAATGTTAGAGCTAATGCCATACCGACGCTCATGGTGCGAGGAAATCGAAAGCTTACCAATAACACCATCAACAAATTGAAGCAATTAAAAGCTGGTGGACGAAGATCGAAACGGAATACCATTCAAGTTTACGGAGGTTTCTTTTTTCTCTGTCACAACTGACACCTATTGTCAAAAACTTCTAGAACTTACAAGGGAGGTCGTTCAGGGTGTGCCAAGCTTTTTCAAAATGGTTTCTTGCATGACATTGGGGCACATGCGGGAACCACAGAACCATGGTTCATTTTTCCTGAACGGCCCTCTGAATACCAGAAAAGGGGTCCCTAGTTCGATTCCTCGTGGTGACAAATTTTTGCATTTCGAGTTGACGTTCAAAATTCGCGCAAAATGGAGTTAGCATGAATAATTAGTACCATATTCATGATTTAGTAGGGTCCGTCAGTAACCCTTACAAATTGAGACTTTGATTGGACGGTAGACCGCTGGTCAGACTGGTGGAAAAAGGTGCAACACCAAAGTGGGTCCGTTTTGTGGTGTCACACCTTTTTCACCAGTTTTTCAATCAAAGTCTTTTTGTAAGGTTACTGACGGTCCTAATCATGAATATGGTACTAATTATTCATGCTAACTCCATTTTGCGCGAATTTTGAACGTCAACTCGAAATGCAAAAATTTGTCGCCACGAAGAGGTAGGGACCCATTTTCTAGTATTCAGAGGGGCGTTCGGCACCCTGGACGACCTCCCTTGTGATAGCAGTAACTGGGTAAAAATTCTCATCTAAATGAGTAGAAGTAAGACCAGCTGAGAATCAGAAA